CCTGTGCCCAGGAAGTCGAGGCTGCAGTGAGCTGTGATCATGCCACTATACTCCAGTCTAGGTGACAGAGTGAGACTCTGGCCCTAAATAAATAAACAAGACACCATCACAGAATTTTTGAAAGAATTAGATTGCCAATATTTTCAGAGTGTTGGATATACTTTAAAGTAAAAATACACATATATGTAAATATTCTTTTCAAACATTTGCTGAATATCCTTCCTTCCTACTCCATGGCAAGCAAATTTAATATTTAATATTTCCAAAATTAAATGCAGTATCTTTTCCTTCCTCCTGATACACACAACAATAACTCTTTGTATTTCTGGTAAGGGCACCAATATTACAGATTCTGTTGGTTTCTTCCTACCTCCCAGCTTCCATGTACCCCCACCACCGGCCCCCAGCATCCAAAACACTGAAAGCTCTATAGTTGTTATCTCCAAGTAGCTCTTATGTTACGGTACCTTTATTTTCATCCCTGTTGCCTTTTCATCTCCGTCTTGGGCTACTATAATTCCCCGCTGTCTATTTCTAACTTTCATCATCCTGCACACCACTGTCAGGCTAATTTCCCTTAGACCTTTCAAGCACTTGCAGTGGATTCCCCATCGCCCAGTGAATTAAGTGGAAACTTTTAGATGGGAGAGTCAAGTCCTTCAGGCCCTGAACCCAAAATTCCAATCCAGTGTACCTCCTGTTAATCTTCATGCAAGCCTTCCCCAGTCTGGTCATTACTCCCTATTTTTAAACAAGTCCTTTGATTTCTACTCACATAATCTTGTTTTGAAAGTCTCCTTCACCCGAAAGGCCCTGTCTCCTCACTCACCTTGTCACAATCTTTCCCATTCTTCAAAGTTCATTTCTGACGCCATGTCTTCCACAAACCTATTTCTGTCCCCTCCAAATGTAATCCTTCCTTTCTTCAAATTCCTCAAAGCACTTTTATTATATATTTCTCATAGAGAGATGACTACCATCCTCCTTGACTAGATTATAAAATCTGTCCCAAATTCCTATTAAGATAAGAGAAAGACTCTAAGTGGTTGAATAAATATTTATTGAATTGGCAAATAGAGCAGTAGAAAATGATGTGCTAGTTTTCACAATAAAATTTTTCAGATGAGCTACCCACCTTTCTAAAAGGTGATTAAAAATATTGTAGAAGTGTTGCCTAGCCACCCAAAATAACATTGTTTGTACAAGCATGCCCTGGTAGAAACCGATCGGTGGCATCTCAAAAACCACATTTTAAAAAACATTTCTATTGTGAAATGTAACACAAGAAAATGTTACTAAAACATACATTTGCAGTTTAACAAAGAAGTAAAAGTAAAATATTGCAGTTTCACTGCAAGCAAAGTAATTACCCATGTAATTACTATCAATGTCAAGAAATGCAAAATTGTCAAGACCCTCGAAGCATCCACCCCACCTCAGATCACAAACACCACCCCCAACACAGTCGCCTTCCTGACTGTCATGACAACCACTTCCTACCATTTTGTTAGTGGTTTTTATGTATGTATCACTCAAAAATGCATTGTGGTTTTGCTAGTTTGAAAACCTTATAAACAGCACAATAATTCTGTATATAGTCAAAAGGGTTCAACAGTGTTTGTATCTTTCATGGAATTTAGTCATCTGCATTGTTGCAAATAGTTGTAATTTGTTAATTTTCATTTTCATGTAACATTTCACTTTATGGATGCACCACAGTTGAACTATTCTACTGTTGATTAGCATAGGCATTAGCTCTATTTTTTTTTTTTGAGTGGGAGTCTCACTCTGTCGCCCAGACTGGAGTGCAGTGACCGCTCCCGGCCCCTGCAGCCTCGACCTGCTGGGCTCCGGCGATCCTTCCGCCTCAGTCTTCCAAGTAGCTGGAACTACAGGCGCGCGCTACCACGCCCGGCTGATTTTTGATTTATTGTAGAGATGAGGTCTCACTAAGTTGCCCAGGCGGGTCTCGAACCCGTGGGCTCCAGCCATCCACTCACCTTGGCCTCCCAAAGTGCTGGGATTACAGGCTGAGCCACCGAGTCTGGCTGGTATTAGCTCTTGTGTGGGGCTTTAATGAATATGTAGCTATGAGCATTCTTTCATACACAGCCTGGTGCCCACATTTCTTTAAGATGGCATTGTGGGCCGGGCTCGGTGGCTCAGCCTGTAATCCCAGCACTTTGGGAGGCCGAGGCGAGAGGATTGCCTGAGTCCACAGGTTTGAGACCCGCCCGGGGAACTTGGCGAGCCCTCGTCTCTACAATAGATCAAAACTAGCCGGGCGTGGCAGTGCGCCCTGTAATTCTGGTTACTTGGAAGGCTGAGACCGAAGGATTGCCGGAGCCCAGCAGATCGAGCCTGCAGTGGCTGGGAGCGACCACTGCACTCCAGTCTGGGCGACAGAATTGAGACTCCAACTCAAAAAAAAAAAAAAAGGCATTGCTGAAAAGTTTTAAATTGCCTCTGAAGTATAATGTTTTGGTAAGTAATAATTTACATTTTTCTAAGTTAGTCTAACTCTTATTCCTAGATATTATAAAAAGAGCATGATAGAAATATATTAATTGGGAATTATGAATAAATGAGTATACTTTAAATTATTACTAGAAATGTGTATGATCAGCTGACTGGTTGGTTGAGTGTTGGTTTGTTTCCAAAGTTTTAAATTGAGCATACATATATGCAACTTATTTTTGTGTGTGTGCTGGAATCTCTGTCACCCAGGCTGGATGCAGTAGCATACCATGGCTCACCGCAACCTCGACTTCCTGGGCTCAGGGGATCCTTCCACCTCAGCCTCCTGAGTAGCTGAGATTAAAGGCAGTCGCCACCGTGCTTGGCTAATTCTTTTTCTTCTTCTTTTTTTTTTTTTTTTTTGGTGACGAGGTCTTGTTATGTTGCCCAGGCCGATCTCAAACTCCTAGGCTCCAGCAATCCTCTTTCCTTGAGCTCCCAAAGTGCTGGCATTTCGGGCATAGACTCCCATGCCCAGCCCAAATGTGCAATTTTTAGTGAGCTGCATCGGGTGACCACATACCCTTTTGACCTTTTTTGCCAGGCCTTCTTCTATCCCTTAGAATCGCTCATTCCAGATTCCTGGACTCAGCCTTATCATGGTCTCTGTAATGTCATTTTTATTTTCCCTCACTTTTTTTTCCACTCCAGCCTCCTTTATTCTTTGTCCTTACAGAGTCACAAAATCCAGCAGCTGGTCTGCTTCTTCCATGTCTTCTTATGAACTCTTCTGTGAACTCCATAAAACCAGCAGTCACCCACTTTGGGGCCCTTCTGATCTCTTTGAGCCCTGTCTTCCCTTCCACTGTGCCCTGGGCCCCAAGTGAAAGACCTGACCACCCTGGCAGCATGACGGTCATTCGTCTTTGTTCTTTCTGTAACACAAAATGAACTAGCCTTTTATATCAATCATGAATAAACATATACTTTTTGATTTCTGGGAAATGCTTGATTTAAAAAATATGTCAAATGACATGTTAAGATCTAATCATGTAGTCTCCTTTAGACCTAATGCTTGAGATTTGTTTCCATAGAAAACGTTCCCTAGGGGTCCCAACTTTTGGTGAGAAAAGAGTAAATTGTGATTCCAGAACCCCCTGGACTTTACAACCAGCTAAGCTATAGTGGCTCTTTACTGCAAAACACAAAAACCATCCCCAGTACACAAAAGAAGTGCCCCTGCTCTTCAGATGCTAATTTTAACCAGTCTTGCGTCAGACTAGGCCAAGAGCTATAAATTGTTCCAACCAACCAGCAAGAAAAAGCATGACATGAAGGGCAGAGATGTAGAATTTGCCTCTCCGGCAACTACTTCTGTGGGAAGTGCCCAGTGGCAGGTACCCTGGAATTTGAAGCTTGAGGAAGTATATGCGAATGTAAAGGGTGAAATGTCATACATTGCATTTGCTTTGAAAGAAGTGAACTGAGCCGGGCTCGGAAGCTCAGTCTGTAATCCCAGCGCTTTGGGAGGCTGAGGCGAGTGGATTGCCTGAGCCCGCGGGTTCGAGACCCGCCCGGGCAGCAAGACCTCATCTCTA